GAAAAGGATAAATGAAGTTTTAAGAGACGTGTCTTATACACTAGCAGGTACCGATGTACTAGGCCTTTTTGAGATCTTGTCATATCAATGTCAAAACTGATAACTTAGTTGTGGAAAATAAGCTAACAAAAATATCAATGCTAGAAATATATTTACTTGGTACTGAGATGCTTCAAAATTTGAGGGAGTAGCATAAGTTTCCTTCGAGATAACCTGTAATATGTGCTCGTTTAATACAAAAAATTGATAAAGTTCATACAACAGTATACTACCATTCTGTTAGGAAACTCAGAAAGCAGTGGCAATAACAGTATTTAGCAATGAACAAAATATATTGCTTTGCATCCTTGTATTAAGTTTGGTGTGCAAACCTTATCGTTACTACAATTATCTTTGTAATGTGCTGGCAGATCCTCATTCTCCACATAATCATCTTGCTCCATCTATAGTGAATAAGAATAAATTAATATAATCTTTCACTAACAAATTCGATAGGCAGTGCTTCATGAATACCTGTAAGCTAATATTTATTGAATAAGAATGTTAAACCAAAATACTTTACAGTGATTCATCACTGAAAAATAGCTTCCTTACCTGTTTCTTTGAGCAAAGAACATCTATTTTTCTCTGCATCATAAGATTCTGCCTCTGCAAGCACAAGTCCCAAGTCACAGTTAAAGGACATCATAAAATTCTACTTAAAGCTGAGATAGGGACTGCAGCTACCAGTGGTAGTAATAAACAGCCTAAGCTGAATGAAGGAGTAGGGGTACAGATTTCTGTATTCAGTGCTAATGAAAATCTTGGGACAGGGGAGATTTCCAGTTTATTAATGCAATTTGATGGTTGAGTTTAAAAAATAAAATTCTAGTTAAAGCGGCAACCATTCCTATCTTTCGAGTGCCAAACATAGTAAAATGCTCTCATCCATATTAGTGTGCATACCTTCTGTACATGACTAAGGTTTTCGTATTCTACCTGCAGATCATCATCCTCCACATTGTCAGCATGCCCATTCTGCGATGAGAGCATTAAAACAAATAACTCTTTGATATAAATCTAGTATGCAAAATCCAATTCAATTGTACCATTGTATCATTCAGAGGTCCATCCATGCTAGAATCTTGATTTTGAGGGTCACTATATACTCGCTGTTGATAGACAAATGACTACAAATTAGAACCAACTATTAAAAAAATATAGTATATTGTTGTTATTGTCAATTTTTAGAGGGGTACGTACCTTTCGTTTCATATTTGGCACATCAACACAATAGCCATCTTTAGATGCATAGACAGGATCACCTAAACATCCCTATGTCAAG